ATGAGTCCCTCTTCTACACACACTCGCAGAAGTTATAGATCAAGTGACAGATAGATGCTATAAGCTTCTGCATGCATATATATATATAACATGATGACAATGTTCAACCACTAAAAGAGAACTAATAGGGATAATAATAATAATTATTATATGAGCTAGAACACCAAACTAACCTCGTAAAAAAATTAGCAAGAGCACTGAGAGATTTCGGTTACTTGATAAAAGGTTGAGAAAGAACTCGATGGCTGATCCAATACTTGACATTGGCTTTGCCACAGATTGCAGAAACTTCAGTACAAGGATTGAGACAAATATGATCAACCTCCGACCAAAACCTTCCTCTACTTTTTCAGAGCATTCCACAAACTTCCTCTTCTCTAGTTCACCGGAAAATAAGATATGAAAGAGATCAAAGAAGTCCAGTTCTTCAGGTTTCGACACCATGTAATTGGCGCAGAAACTCAAATCACTAGCCATAACGAAAGAACTAAGGAAATAAACTGGGAAAGACTTTGTTTTTGTTGCGACTGAACCCAAAAGCTACCTACCTTTATATAATCAGCCCCAGTGGCTTGATTAATTTATTAACTTGTGTTACACATTTAAATTTTATGTTGAATATTTTATTTGAAGTCATGCATCAATGTTTGCGCTGTATTATAAAATTCTTTAAATTTTTTAGTCACGAGATAAAATTTGAAATTAAAAACAAAAATTAAGATACATCATAACATTATTAATTTATTGTGTAAAAATTAAGTTTACGCATGTGCCTAGATGACAAACCATGACAGCCACCAATTGGAACTTAAGTTTTTGACTTTTGTTCAGGTATTAGGTAGCGGATTTGATTTATATGTAAGGGTTGGACAAAATCCAATTAATATAGAGAAAAATGTTTTAGGAGATGGTGTTGGGTACGGTTAAAAGATAACTTAATTTTGAGTGGCACTGAATATATTATATGTTTTTACAAGTTTTTCATTAAAAAATAGAACACCTCTCTCTCTCTCTCTCTCTCTCTCTCTCTCTCTTTTCACAATATAGAAAATGTTATTCTGAATTTAAATAATTAATTTTAGGTGAAAATAGTCTATATTATTATTTCTGAAATAGTATACATATATACTGTTAAATAGGAATGTTGATCTAAAAAAGCCCTAAATTATATAGTAGATTTAAGCCTAAATATAATGATACAATTGAAATGAAAAAAAGGTCATTAAATTTTGTTTAATTTGATACTACTGTTTTCACGTGAGTATTTTCACACCCTCGAGGTTGGGTAGAGGCAGAAGCTCATCCGAGAAAAAACAAAATCCATTGGGAATATCATAAAGCTACACCGTATATATAGGTTGTACTATAAACTCCATTTATTTTGATGTGGGATTAGGGCTGCTTAACGAACCGAGCCGTTCATCCATTGGGAATATCATAAAGCTACACCATATATATAGGTTGTACTATAAACTCCATTTATTTTGATGTGGGATTAGGGCTGCTTAACGAACCNATAATTATAAATTTATCTAGATCTTGGACTCCACTAACCAGAAATCCTGACTACGCCCTGCTTAAGCTCCATCTTTTCTAGGCCATGACCCTAAAGCTTTCTAAAACACTATGTTAACGCTTAAGCTATAGGCCTATAGCTTTAGAAAAGAGAATGAACCACTCTGATCCCATCAAGAAACATGACCTGCTTTCAATAATTTCATCTTATTTATCAACTTCCTATTTACAAATTACAAAAGCGACTAAGGCAATTAGCTAGACAAAAACATACTACTAATTTATCACCATAAACAATTATATTGGATATCATGCACCAAGAAATTCATCATTTCCTTTATTTGTGAGAAGATTATCATATTAATTCAAGAATAATATATTTTTTTGCGCAAAATCGTTTCACAGAGTAAGCATGCATTTCCCCAGAAAGAGCCAGCAATATGTAAGAACTAAGAATCATNCTCTCTCTCTCTCTTTTCACAATATAGAAAATGTTATTCTGAATTTAAATAATTAATTTTAGGTGAAAATAGTCTATATTATTATTTCTGAAATAGTATACATATATACTGTTACATAGAAATGATGATCTAAAAAAGCCCTAAATTATATAGTAGGTTTAAGCCTAAATATAATGATACAATTGACATGAAAAAAAGGTCATTAATTTTTGTTTAATTTGATACTACTGTTTTCACGTGAGTATTTTCACACCCTCGAGGTTGGGTAGAGGCAGAAGCTCATCCGAGAAAAAACAAAATCCATTGGGAATATCAGAAAGCTACACCGTATATATAGGTTGTACTATAAACTCCATTTATTTTGATGTGGGATGATATTAAATATATTTACGTGACATTTGGATTATATAATTTTTTTTATCTTAGTAATAAGATTATCAGAAATATAGATTATTTTACAGATTATTGAGTTTAAATTATTATTATACTTGATCTAATTGAGATGTATTAATAATTAATGTGTTTGGTTAACAATAATAATAGATATCTTGAAATGACCTGTTATTATAATGCCCTTTGAAAGATTATTTGTATTACTAATTAATCTATTTGGTTAGCTATAAGAGCAGATATATTGATTACATTTTACTAAAATGCCCTTTAGATGATTGTCGGGTTTAAATAATTAATGTGTTTAGTTAATAAAACGAATAATCAATTAACAAAATTATTTTTCTTATATTTTAGCCAAGTATTTTATTGTTAAGTCATTTATTGAGAAATTTACGTAGACTATTGAAACTTTAAAAAAAAACTATTGTATTTTCTGTTGGGTATACATTCAACACCTCAACCTATTATTGCAACTATTTAGTTCCCATCTCCCAATTTAGAACTTTGATTTGTGTACTGCCCAAATTATAGCTCCATTTCTACTTTAGTCTAATTGAAGCCTTTTTTTTTCAAGGCAAAAGAAAAATTATATTTTTTTTGTTTACACCATGGCTGGAATTTAGATGCAAGTTTCCAAATTTGAGAAATTTTGTTAACTTTTTCCATGTATCCTAGACCGAAATTATATGTGAAAAGTGTGAGAATTATTGGTACATTTGTAGTACTGTTCGGAAATGGCAATTGGAGTGCTATCCGGATCAAACAGGTGGAGACGAAGACTCGAGGTGCTGCGGTGAAGATGGTCAACCAATGGTAGAGGTAAGAGCGAGATCTTAGACTAACGAACGCAAAACAAACCTAAAATGAAAAATACAATCGAAAGAGTGTATTTGACTTACCAGAAAATGGCGATCAGAGTGATGAGTCGCGAATGAGATCGAGAAGAAGAAGACCAACGGCGACGATGGAGGTTTAGGGCAGAGTCTCGATCAAAATGTATATTAAGGCTGAGGATTTTTTTTCTTTTTATATTGTAGTTTTAGTGATATAAAAGGACATATTGGTCATAATATGCAAATATGTGAGGATAATATGGGCACACTAATATTTCATGGCATTTTTGAAAATATTGATAATAAGCAAGGTAATTTTGTCTGAAAAATTAAGAAACTGAGGACAAATCCGTCTTCTTATGCAAATTGAGTGTTTTGTAATTATTAACAAAGTCAAAGATATTTACGTCTACATTGTCCACTGTTTTTAGGGCAAAATTGGACAAAAATTTAGATTACAGAAGTAATATTTTAATAATACCCTCCCCCAGGTAATATTATTCCCCGCGATTTACCCCCAATTTAGCACTTTTTGACATTTTTTTTTTTTCTAGGAATAGTTTTTTACAAAACAACCAAACATAGTTATCTACCCAATTTAAAATATATTACCTTCGTTATATAATATTAACCCGATCCAAACTGCCCTTACATGTTAAATGTATATATTTTCCACTATTTTTCTATGAAATGTATAGTTTTTATTTCATAATACAGTATACAGAGTATGTATATTTGTCAACGGCGGTAAATATTTACATGGGCTGATAGGCAAATATGTTTAACAAAGACTAGCTATAGTATTAGTAGCTGAGTAGTGGCGGCAACTGGTACCCGGTAAAGGCAGTAGCTAGGAAATTGGATTAGAACGTGACAAACTAGATAAACAAAGTCATCAAATTTTATTTTTTTCATCTCACCACCCAAGGCAACAGTTTTTGAAGATAATAACCAATTAATGAAAGAAAGGAAACTAGATTTAATATTATTATGACTNCATTCAGTTCTGGTGGCTTGTTTAATTTAACACGAGGGATTTTATATTCTAAGTTGTATACTAATTTTTTTTATTCAAGTAATTTGTCTTTGTTTGTGTTATAAATTATAATAATGCTATTTCATTTAGAAAAGGATATAAATTGTGAAAAGATATATCACTTTAAAACATGTATAATAATATTATTGATTTTTTTATGTAAAGAAAAACTTAAGTCATCATGTTTAGAGGCCTTTTGAATATTGAAAACGCAAATTTCGTCAAATGTTTAGCGATCGACTTTGTTAATTATTTCGACATACCAATTATCAATGTCCCTATTTAACAGTAGTGGGTTAAGTATTCCTCCACTTGACTTTGGTCAAAATGAGCATCCTCTCACCTAAAAAGGAAGCTGAATTATTTTGATTTTCGATGAAACTTTACACTGAAATATCACATTCCAGCTAACCAAAGAATTACCTTTTTGAAATTCCAGCACTGAGCGTTTCTATGGTCCTAATTAATCACCGTTCTAAATGCTGAATGTCTATGCAGTTGATTCATAATTCGGGAATACTTATTTATGAATCAGTGATAGAAAATTCATTATATTATTGAAATGAATAATATACTCATATAAACTAGTGTGGCCTAATGGTTCGATGAGGACTCTTGAGTGTATTATTTAAGAGGTTTTAAGTTCAAATATCTCTTCGGTTGTTAATAGGGGTAGTCACTAGAACTCTTACTTGGCTGGTAATTCTAGAGTCCCATAGGATTAATTGAGATGTGTGTAAACTAGCTCGGACATTGCGATCATAAAATAAAAAAAAACTCATATAAAATAGAGATCCCAAATTTGTGTTTCAACCATTTCCACATCTCAAATTACATTTTCTCTAAGTTACATATCTTCTTGGAAATGGATATATCATAACTTTTTAGCAGAGACCTCACTTATTCTGTTATTCATTCTATTTTTAGTAACCATTATCGGAATTACATGACCATTTAACGTTAACAAACAGCACAAATTTACGAAGACCATCAAGGAATTTCACCTAATTGAGATGGTAGAAATCCGTCGGAGGATCCCAAACGAGTAGCATTTACATAATCTTGGGTAGAATGCGCTGATATGCCTGGCATAACCAAACCGATTACTCTAAACACCTTGAGGAACCACCCTTCTTTATAGTCTGGTCCCATTTTGTAAACTATGGTGAAACTTCTTATCAGCTCCAAAAATGCATTTATCATCATTGGAATTGCATTCAGCGGTGAGAAGTAATTCTTATTTGGTTGCTCCGGAACAACCTGCATTTCAATAAATCAAAATAAATTTGCATAATCAGTTGTAAGCTGCATCTTCTCAATCACCAAGTCATACGAATTATAAACCATGCAAAATGCAACTAAAACATTGGTTCATTAGTAGAAGGAGAGTGATGCTCACCTTGGCTTCATAGTGGCGATTATAGTAAATGCAGGTCCCAAAGTGCTTGAACATAAGATCTGAGTCATCGTAAGGTAACCTTGGCACCATGTCATTACTGTAAACAAGTCTAAAATATCGAACACTATGCTCTTTCAACTTCATTTCCATGAACTTACCAAACTGTTCATCTCCTACCCTTGGTTGCCCATATGTATAGATCCCTTCCAATCTCTCCAACAACAGTTTCTCCTCATGCAGTATTAAAATTGTGGGAAAGAGAATAGCCAGTGCCCCACCTAAACTGTGACCTGTCAATATATATTTTGCTCGATCATTTTTGCTCAATTGGTCTTTTAACATCTCCCTGATTGCATAGTAAGCCAGGGGCTCTGGGCGCATATCTTCTAGTTTATTCATTTCTTTTGGCCAACCTCTTTGTTTTTGCAAGCCTAGAGCCTTCATAAAACCACCATGAATATTTCCCACACCATTGATCTCATACCAAGAGAGATCAAAGTCTGAGCACCATGCATCTGCATCGAAGGGCTCTGTTCCCCTAAAAGACACAATTATCGTGTCATGGTCAATACCTTTATCATGGAGCATGAAGGCTTGTGTTGTGGCCTTATCTTGATAATCTGCCATATATGCATTGACTTAATTATGATACTTATCTAATAAACAAGCAGTTTGAATTTAGAAAAAGAAGATCATAGTTTCTTACCATTCCAATAGTCATAAAATCCCAAGTAATCCATCTGCAGAACGAAATAATTAAGCTGGATATATATATAGTATAAATAAATATTTTGGAAGAAATTATAACAATATTGTTATACCTTCCAGTGATCTTTAACTGTAGTTTCAATGTAAGCTCTGTTCTCATATGCTGCTTTAGATGCCATCATGCATAAAGTGGCAAAATATCTGGCATCTCCATGTTTGATGCTACTGTCCAGCTTCACTCGCTTATCTAAATTTCCAATAAACGAAATGAAAGTTGCTGATTGTCTGTCAGGTTTTACCAACTTCCCTGAAATGCATTGACCCATCTCTTTTAATTTTGTTAATTAAGCAGGAAAACCAAATTAAAATTCAGTGAAAAAAAAAAAAAATTATTCATCTAATTTAGTCCATCGTAGATCTTGAGCCGATGCGTGATCAACTCCGATGTTAACATTGCATTTATCAGCGATGAATTTACAAATGTCTTCTTATAGGCAAATACAGATAATATTTTCTTGAAGTATTTACGCATATGGCTGATCACAAGAGTAACTACTGTATTTTAAAAGTTTATGAATTATTTTAGGGATTAAAATAAGCGGGTTGTCAATCTGCATGTGCTTTTCGAGCACATAAATAAGAAAAAAAAAAAAAAATTTCATAAGATCATAAATAACTTTTGTGCACTAAAGAAGAAAAAAAAATCTTATAATAAATTAAAATTTAGCAAAGTGTTTACTTTATGCATAAATTTCCTAAGATTGTAACGGTTCAAGCAACTAGTTTAAAAATCCATCTAATCACTTAATTTATTTTTCCTTACAGCCACAGGGGAACCACGAGGTCCACAACACAATGGTTGCTTTAGAGCAATGGCTTTTGAGCTGTAAGGTAATCCCTGACATTGCTTTAAGCAAATATTACAATGTCGACTTTTAGAGGGATCTTGGTGCTTGCCACGCAACTTAAGCTCACGCACGGGTGTTTCAAAGTACTAGGTGATGGTCACTTGATCCTGTTAATTATAAAATTATTAAAAGTAGGTATATGTTTTATAGTATTAATAATTTTGATCTCAATAAAATTTATATTGATCTCGTTAAATTACTTATATTTTATGACTATATTAAGATATATCTATATTTTATTGATTTCAAGATTTAAAAATACCTATTTTTTTTTTCATAATTTATCTCTTCTTTAGTTTCTCACCCTTCCTTTATTGGATTAATAAAAAGACTATTCATTTGGAAGTCACAAGTAAGATGGTACTCATTTTTTGTTATTTGCTTAAAAATCTTTTCTTCTATCTTTTTTAATTGATGAAGATCATAAATTATGTTATCCTACGTGGTTTTTATCATTTTGTATTATTTTTTTTATGTTTATTTATTAGTATATATATATTATAAATTTATTACCTCAGATATTTGACTCCACTAATCAGAAATCTTGACTACGCCCTGCTTCAGCTCGATCTTTTCTGCATGACCCTAAAGCTTTCTAAAACACTATGTTAACGCTTAAGCTATAGGCCTATAGCTTTAGAAAAGAGATGAACCACTCTGATCCCATCAAGAAACATGACCTGTTTTCAATAATTTCATCTTATTTATCAACTTCCTATTTACAAATTACAAACGCGACTAAGCAATTACTAGACAAAACATACTACTAATTTATCACCATAACATTATATTGGATATCATGCACCAAGAAATTCATCATTTCCTTTATTTGTGAGAAGATTATCATATTAATTCAAGAATAATATATTTTTTGCGCAAAATCGTTTCACAGAGTAAGCATGCATTTCCCAGAAAGAGCTAGCAATATTTAAGACTAAGATCATTTATACGAGTAATTTATGCATATTATAATAGTAGAGCCAAATATAACAAACCTTTTATCATATTAAGAAAGAGAACGCCCAGATTTCGGTTACTAGACACAAGATTGACCAAGAACTCGATCCCCGACCCAGTGCATGCCAATGGTTTCGCAAAGAATAGCAGAAACTTCTGTACGACGATGGAGATAAACATGAGCCATCTGCGGCGGAAAGTCTCTTCCCTTGCCTTGCTGCTATCGACGAAGTCTCTCTTAGCAATGTCACTGTATATTAAGATACGAATCAGATCAAAAAATTTCACTTCTTCTGGTTTCAAGAGCATGTAATTACAGGTGAAACCTTTTTCACACTCCCCCATGACTTGGCTTGCTTGTATGCAAAGAATGGAAGCTTATGATCTATTTCTCTCTTGATGTTTTATTCTATTCAAACTTCAATTAACTCTCTCATCTCATCTCTGATATATACTTGAAAAGCAAAGGTAATGCCGCACAAAAGAAACATAAATTGCAAGGGAATGAGAATAATCAAAGTGGGGTATAACCCAGGCTACACAACTTTATTAAATTATCAATGCTCACATGCACATTATTAATTGTACTAAATAATTAATGGCAAATAAAGTTCAAACAAAGTGGATTATTGGATGGAAGAAAAAATATTATCATTATATTTCTTGATCGATTATCCTAGCTATATAAGTAATTTCTCTATGTAAATACTTAAATTTTATCCTTGTAAATAATATTTAACATAGTTTTTTAGGGATATTGTACATTTTAAGTAATTTCTAATTTTATCCTCTGAAATTATATGTCCACTTAGTCTGGTCATATTATTTGCTATATTAATTTATTGAGTAAACGACTTTTTCCCACCCAAGGTTTGCCTTAATAACACTTTTTCACCCAAAAAGTTTCAAAATATCACTTTTCCATCCAAAGTTTATATTCTGTTAATACTCAAAATACACTTCACTTTATCAGTCGGCGTTTGGCGAGTTACCAAAAGCCAGGGTAAGAGGGTTTTTATAGAGTAGAGGTCGGTGGATTCAATGTTGGTGACCGATTGAATATTCGTTGGCGGAATCAATTAGAAATCAGCTAAGAACAAGATACCCTAGTTTTGAGATGACTAGCAATCAGTGAGAAATCAGGTGTCAAAGTGAGAGAGGTTTTGTAGAGAAGAGACCAGAGGTTCAAATAGTTATGACGAAGAAAATTTTGGCTACCGAAATCGACTTTGGGTCGTAATAGAATATTAACTTTGAGTGAGAAAGTGGTATTTTAAAACTTTTTGGGTGAGAAAAGTCATTAAGGCAAACCTTGGGTGGAAAAAAGTTGTTTACTCTTAATTTATTAGAGAATATTATAATACATTAATACTATCCAAAGTCTTTCGGTATATTTATGTATTTTCCATTCTTTAATTTGTTTTTTTTTCTGTTTTATGTTTTCTTTCCTATTTTTTTTTTCTTCTCTACTTTCTTCTTATATTCATGTGAAATTGTTTCTCTTGATATTGATAGCACAAACCACTCACAGTTTTATATATATATATATATCCTCCCTACGTTTCAATATAAATGATTTTCTAAGTTTTTACACAATTTTTAATGAAAATAATTTTATCTCTCTCCAATTTGAGATTTTCCTCTGATTTTGCACGTGAGAAAACTTGTTTTTCCTGAATTATATATATATGTATGTGTGTGGAAGAGAGGAGATAAAGAGAAGAGATAAGATAAAAAGAGAGAGAGAGAGAAGATGTGGGCCATTTAATTTGAAAAAAAATTATATCCTCAAAACGATATTTATAAAAAAACGAAGGGAGTGTTATATGTCCAAGATATTATATTTATAAGAACAAAAGCTTGTTTTTGTGAAAGGCTAAACTTTCTTAAACATGTTTCAAAGATATTTTTTAAGGAAAATTTGTATTATGTTAACAACATAAGTTGAATTATTGATATTTAGTGAATAGCATTTATTATGTTAATTGATGATCTCATAACTTTATTTTATAATATCTGTATTGGATTCTCTTCTTATCTCTAAGATCCAAACAATCATAAGAGAGAGATTAACCCACTTAAATATTAAATTAATCGGCTGTCTAATTAGTTATTATGATGAGGATGCATTGACNAGTGATATTAGTTAGCAACTCAGTCTACCATATAATTCCAAGAACAAGAAGCACTACGATAATTTTAGAATAGAAATTATAATCAATTTTTATTTTTTTATGACGTGTTCTCACCATTCCAGTAGTCATAAGATCCCAAAAATTCCATCTGCACAAAGACAAATTATATATAAGTACAATCGATTTATAATTTTACAAAGAAAAAATAAATAAATTAAAAAGGTTTAATCTCTGCTAGTGCTATATAAAAAAATAAGCAACACGTTAATTACTTAATTTGCACACAGGGGAAGATTTGTAGGTGATTATATTCATATTAAGTTAATATACCTTCCAGTTTTGGGTGACAATAGTTTCGATGTAGGCTTTGTTCTCATATGATGCTTTGGATGCCATCATGGACAGTGCCGCATAGTATCTTTCATCTCCATATTTGATACTAGGCTCCAACTCCACTCGCTTGTCCACATTTCCAGTAAACGATAAGAATGAAGCTGAATTTTTATCTGGCACAACCACCCTCCCTGCACCACACACATTGATTAATCAACAACGAATTAAAATCAGATTCTCATTATAATTAAACAAACAAATTGATCAATTGTTAATTATGCCCCAATGGCAATGAGAATTGACTATGCAGACGGCGTAAGGTTACACATATTTGGACAAACGTTTGCAGAGACACAATTACTTCTAAGTAGTCAAATGATTTGATGAGAACTTTTAGGTTTATTACTCAAGAGGTTTTTAGTTCAAATATTTCATCGATTGTTAATAATAGTGGTGTTGAAAATCGGTTAACCGGTTCGATTACCTACTTTTTTTAACTGAACTGGTTATGGGGAAAACAAGTTTTCCATAACTTTGCAGTGCATTTTTTTAAACTTGTTTGAGATGAAATTTTATTTATGAATTTCATGTTAAATTCATATCTACAATACTGAATATTTTATGTTTATCAAATATTTATGAATTTCATGTTAAATTCATATCTACAATACTGAATATTTTATGTTTATCAAATATTTATGAATTTCATGACCCACATAACATGAAAAGAAAATTAATCAATCAAATGCGAAGAATTTGTTTTGTGTTGATCGAATATTTTAATAGTATTAATTATACATTAGTAGTTTTTCTTTTACTAATTAACTTTGTATTTATAAATTTAGATAGAATCCTAGACAAATCATGGGAGAGCTGATTTAATCAACCATCTCATTCTCACCTAGTACTGGTTCTCGTAATCCTCTTAACCGGAAACTGAACAAGGAAACTGGTTCAAAAAAATCTATAAACCAAAACGGAACAAGTTTTTCCAAATCCCGATTTTTTGGTTTGGTTTATAGATTTTTTTTAACACTACTAACAAATAAAAATAGTTATTACCTTACTGATAGTTTTATGCCCTTGAATGATTAATTGAATTATGCAAGAAACTAACTCACTCTCCATCATTTAAATAAAAAAAAAAACAAAATAAAAAATAAAAACGTTTGCAGAGACACCAAGACATCTACAGACTACAGAGTACAGAGTACAGACCACATCACGTGCTAAAAGAATACAGGAGAGCCTCAAGTCTTATCCACTTGGAATATTTCTTTTTAATATTATAGCTGGTAATAGAGAAAGGGAATTGCCATTAAAGTGGACGGGACCCATTAGAAAATATTAAAATAAGAATATGATGCTTTCAATATTCTTATTTCAATCTTTCCTGGAACGCTTCCAGGCTTCCACAATGTCGGAACTTACTGTATTTGTAAATAATATCATAAAGCCTTTTATGTAGTTGTTTGATGATATTATAATAGTATTAAGACAGAAAGCCAGCTAAAAATAAAAATAAATAAATTAGGCTTTCAGTCAATATACATGCGTAGAATTTCGTATAAATTAATTATTTGTAGCATAACCTAACCTTACCCAAAATTTTATTTTATTTTATTTTGCCCTCTCTATGGGATTACCTGAGTGGCTGTAAATCTTCCACAATGTGGCACTACTCTGATCTAACCGTATGCTGATTACTTAGTTGCGGTTAGCCAAAACCTTATGACATAATTTTACAATTGGTTAAAAAAAAATAAGTTGTATATACAAGAAGATGAAGAATCACATATAATTATGTTACATTAAAAATTAACCAAGTTTGAATTATAGAATTTTAGGGAAGTGGTATCAGTTTGTGCTCTAATATTTTCTCATCATGTTGTTCTTCTAACAACAGTTTTATTCTAACCACCGCTATTATCAGATTGATCTTGAAAAATACCCGCTAATCGTTTAATGCTCCCTCTCTTACACACAACAAAGGTACAGATTAAGTGATTAAGCAATTAGCTCTGCATGCAGGTCATGATACAGAGTTGACGTACGTATATATAACCTTGCACATATATATGACAATGTCAAAGCCTCAAAAAATCACAGATAATAATTAATAAGAGAACAACTAACCTCGCAAGAATTAAGCAGGAGCACGCCGAGGTTTTGGTTACTTGATAGGTTTAGGAAATAACTCAATCGTTGAACCAATATTGACATTGGCTTTGCCCAGATCGCAGAAACTTCAGTGCAACGATTGAGACAAATATGATCCACCTCCGACCAAAATCTTCCTCTTCTCTATAAGAGCTTTCCACAAATTTCCTCTTCTCTAGGTCACTGGAAATAGATCGAGGAGATCAAAGAAGCCCAACTCTTCAGGCTTCAGCACCAGGTAACTGCCGGAGAAATTCCAGTCACCCCCATAACGAAAGGATTAATTTAAGGAAATAACTGGTAAGCTGTTGTTTTTGTTGTAACTCAACCCTAAAGCAATATATACATATATAGCCATCTAATCATACATTTAGATCTAAGGGAAATTGCCAAGAAATGGCAGCCATTCGTTCTGGTGGCTTGTTTAATTTACACGAGGGATTTTATATTCTAAGTTGTATACTAATTTTTTTTTTATTCAGTAATTTGTCTTTGTTTTGTTATAATAATGCTATTTCATTTAGAAAAGGATATAAATTGAAAAGATATATCACTTTAAAACATGTTAATATTATTATTGATTTTTTATGTAAAGAAAAACTTAAGTCATCATGTTTAGAGCCTTTTGAATATTGAAAACGCAAGTTCGTCAAATGCTAGCGATCGACTTTGTTTATTTCGACATACCAATATCTAATGTACCTATTTAACAGTATTGGTTAAGTATTCCTCCACTTGACTTTGGTCAAAATGAGCATCCTCCCACCAACAAGGAACTGAATTATTTGTATTTTCGATGAAATTCACGCTGAAATCACACATGCCAGCTAACCAAAGGTCACCTTTTAGAAATTCCAGTACTGAGCTTTTCTATGGTCCTATAATCACTGTTTAAATGCTGAT